TAATCCCAGCCCTGGGGAAAGGAGAGGACAGGGAGATCACCTGCTTCTCCAGGACATCGCCCACATCACATGGCTCCCAGGGTCACGCTGGCGCCCACCACCACCTTCAAATCTGGGCTTGACCTCCAATTTACCTTGAAGTTCACTAGCTAATCGTGCCAACTGCTTTGGCACACCAGCCCAAAAAGGGGTTTGCATCCCCCCCCCCGGAGAAAACAGGGGGATTAACCCTCCGCTGACAGCCGGGGAAGCTGCTCAGTCACCGGGGTCTGGAGGTGCCGAGGGTGACCCTCAAAGACACCCCATGGATTTGGGGAGGGGGATCAGAACAGCCTTCCTCTGTTTGCAGGGCTTGCACGTCCTCAACGCCAGACAGGACCTGATTTTTTTCCTTTTCCCCAGCTCAAACTTTTCATTTTTGGGAAAGTCTCATCAGAATAGCTGAGCGAACCCTTCCCCAGCCAGCCGTTCCAAGAGCATTTGCGTTAATCCAGATTAACGAACATAAAGCAATTTAGATAAACCGCATTAAGCCAAAAACACCTTTGAACTTTTTTTTCTTTTTTTTTTGGATCAAAATCCCTCCCCGAGCACTGTGTGTGGTTTGGGCCTCCCTGTACCGCAGCTTCACCAGAGACGAGCTCTCCACCGAGCGATTAATTAAGTAAAGTCAGCAAATACGAAGATTACCCAGAGGCAGCAGCACCGGCAGTGAACCGGTGCGTTGCACATGGAACCCCAAAAACTGATTCTGGGCTCAGGGGTGTCCGATGGGGCAGGATGGCACCAGGAGCATCTCCCCAGCTCTATACACATCTCCTGGCCATGCTGCCAGGGCTGTGGCCAGGCTGCCTACGTGACCATGAGCCAAACCCCTCCAAGCCTCAGTTTACCCAGCACCAACCCATCCCCTAAGTGTGGGGATGACGAGATGGGTCTGAAATGCCCTGAGATGTGGCACTGGCCACAGGAGGCTGGGCAGGAACAGACGATGGTTTACTCCAAGTAGCCAGTCCCCACCACTCAGACACGTGCGCTGTGACCAAGGTGGCAACAGCCAGCTCATGCCTATAGGATGCCTCATGGAAAAGGTCACGCACCAGATTAGGAGAAGGGAATTAATAAACTCTGTAGTCATGGGTGAAGTATGTGGTGTGCTACAGCCCCGTACACACCTTGCACACCCACCAGAGCCATCACCACAGCAGACACTCACCTCTACAAAGGATTCCCAAACCAAAATCGGGCTACAACAGACCTGACACCAAGACACCCTCTCACCTGGACAAAGTGGACACTTCATTCGCCTGCAGGGAAGCTGTGAGCTCCTTGGGATCCCGCTGCCTGCCCACATATTCACACCAGCATCCATCCAGCACAGAAACAATCCTGACCTTGTCTGGTGCCCCAGGAGCTCCTACAAAAATAGCTTTCCTGGCTGACGGGGCAGAGGAAAACTCCTGGCTTCTCCAGCTCTCCCCTCCACGCCCTCTGAAAACACCTGCTGACACTTTCCACCCTGATTGCCTTCCTCCTGGAAGGAGGAGAATTTCTAACAGAGCCACAGCTGTAGCTTGTAGGCTCCTAATTCCCTCATTATTTGGAAGGGGGGGCTGTAACTGGGCTTTGCCTCTCCTGTTGGGACAGGGTTTAGCTTTTTCACAACGACAACCTTTCCACCTTCTGAGGGTGGCTGCTCACAGCTCGGTGCTCTGTGCTCGCTAAGCTTTGCTCCCAGGTGATTTGGATCAGGACACACCAGGAAGTTTGCTTTCGGCTGCCTCAGTCGGCGCGTGGGTGTGCAAACAGTGACCAATTTCACTGCCGGTTCGACTCCTTTAAATGGGGACTTTCACATCCATTAGGCTTGAAAAAACAATGCCATCTTTTAAACAAAAAATCTGTTTCCCCTTCCTTCGGCTGTGGCCAAAGGTATTTCTGTTTGAACAAGCCGGCCCTTCCCAGCCACCGCTGCTGCCTCGCTGCACAAAATCACCGCCATCCTGCCAGTGAGGATGCTCCATCCCCAGAATCCCTCTGTCCCACTCCTGCTGAGAAGATGGGAGGTTTTTTGGAAAGGTTTTTTTGGGCGGCTGAGCCCTCCCTGCCAGGCTGGTTTTGGTCTCTTGGGGGAGTTGCTCAAGATGGGGCAGAGGAGAGATGCCTGGGGGCCTCTGCGGCGTGGTGTCCACACCGTCGGTGATAAAGACAGATTTGCAGCTCAGATGGTCCCTTTCCAACGTGATCGTCAGAGTTACAAATTTCCAAGGCGATAAAAGGGCAAATTGGAAACGTCCCTATGGAGTTTGCTGCCTGACACTCAAGCACTCAGCCTGAAAGACTCAAAATCCCAATTTCCTCTGTTGGGATTTCAGCTAGATGGCTTGGCTAAAATAAATGAGATTAATCTAATCAGAGAGATGGATGGAGCTCATTAAAACATTAGATTAAAAAAACCCACCCTGCCTATTACCAGTGCTCCTGAGGTCTTCTGCCTTTGTCGCAACTTAAAGTCACCCAGGAATTGGATTCCCTTGCAGAAATCTGCAGGAAATGCATTAAAAATACATTCTGCTATTACAGTTCTTCATGTCACCAGTCACTTGGGAAAGGAAATGAATGCGGGGCAAATGCATATATATTTAAATACATGCGATTGCCTCCTCTGGGATCAGGATTTATAGGCTGGGGGCAGTGGGCTCTGCTCTGAAACAGAGAGACAAGAGAAAATTGAAGTCACCTCAAGAGCTGTGCTGTTTTATTCTCTATAAATGCCATTTCCCCGCTCTCAGCTTCCTCACACAAAGCTGAGGATTAGAAAGGGGCAGAAGCTGGGTCTGGCATTGCACAAAGCTGAATGGGAAGCACTGGGGGGAATTCCTGGACAGGACTGGGGCCAAATTAGTCCCATATGAGCTTTACTGTTTTTATTTCTCATTACCAGTTGCTTTCACAGAATGATATGGGGTTGGAAGGGACCTCTGGAGATCCTCCAGTCCAACCCCCCGTCAGAGCAGGTCCACCCAGAGCAGGTTGCACAGGAACGTGTCCAGGTGGGTTTTGAATGTCTCCAGAGACAGAGACTCCACCACCTCTCTGGACAGCCTCTTCCAAGGCTCTGCCGCCCTCAAAGTGAAGAAGTTCCTCCTCATGATTAGGTGGAACTTCTTATATTCACATTTGTGCCTGTTCCCTCTTGTCCCATCCCTGGGCACCACTGAAAAAAGACCTTCACAACCATGTACACGGGGTCTCGTCACCTTCTCCTAGTGCCGAGTTTTCCATGCAGTAGCCACCAAGAGCTGCTCCGGTTGCCTCTCCAAGGCATTGCACATGGTATTTATGGAAATTTTTGCACAATAATTGTCACCCTGTGCAGGGCAAGCCCTACTTCTGCCTAGGGTCAGCCTGCTGTGCCAAGACAGGTGTTCCCTCTTGAAAAAAAGTTAAACTAAAAAAAAAAAAACCAACAAAAACTGTGTCTGCCTATCTGCAAGGTGCAGAGAAATTGGTATTAAGGACTGTGCTACCAGACGCTTGTGAGGAGGTGAATTCCCCCTGGGGCTGGTTGTCCTGTCAAACCCCACACATGAGACGGGCCATGGGGTGCTTGGAGCGAGAGGACAGCACGGAGGAAAGGTCTGTCCTTCAGGGCGCCTGGTTTTCCCAGCTCCTTTCTCAGCCCCAAGCCCAGAGCTGGCTGCCGTTCCATGTAGCTGCAAGCGCTGCCCCAGCCGAGCCATTTGCCCTTATTGCTTTTCGATGGGATGATTTTTACTGCTCCCTGGGGACTTGAGGAAATCACGGACAGTTCAAGGAGATGGCTCTAACACAGCCTTGTGCTGCAGACATTCAGTGGGGCAGACATGGTCTCAGCCACAGGCTCTGGCTACCCCCTGGCAGGCGGTCATTTATGACAGCTAAAGCGGTTACAACTCATCAGCTGAGCTGCGTTAATTTCACTCACAGCTTGGGCAAACCCAGGGCAATGCTGGCAGCTCCAATGGCCTTTAAACCCACATGGGAGCCTTTCCTTTGCAAGGGGAGCAGGCTAGGGGAGCCATGGCCTCCTTCACGCAGCCCAGCCGTGGAGCTGTAATTAATTAGGGGTGGTAACGAGGTTGACCATCCCCACATGGCGTGCCAGCCCTGCGCCCTTCATCCTCCACATTGCTCCAGCCACAACACCCAGGCTTCTTATGCCTTTTGCAGACTATGGAGGGCAGAATGGGGCCAGGGCTGTTGTATGAGGAGGGGATCTCGCTCCCAGCTCCCCAATGGGGTGGCTGTCATGGCTGTCCCTCACACAGAGGGGGCTGAGCATGGGTCACTATCTCTGTGGAGCTGAGGGGACAGTAAGACCCCCCTCTGTCTCCTGCCCCATGAGCTCTGCAACCTCCCAGTTCCAGCCCCTGACAGCACATGGGTGTTATCGGGTGCTTAGGAAATAAATTAAGAGGGGAAATAAATGCTGGGAGGGAAAAGAAAGGCAAATTGTTTATTGGTGCTCAAGGAGCCTCATCCCAAACTGGGTGTTTTGACCCCAAAGAAGATTTAATCTCCAGTCCTGGTGAAGCCAAAAGGGGAATTAGAGCAAATGGGTAGGCGGCTGGAGCTGGCCACTGCTTTCTGAAAGAAAAATGGCCAGAACCTGAGGAGGAGGAGGAACACCACATCTGCTACAAGCTCAGCTGCACTTGCCAGAACCCTACAGAGTCACCATTTTCCCCTCACGCCCTCGGACAGGCCTGAGGGGGACAGCCTGGCAGCTGGCAGGGACTAAAGCCCCTCACAGGCCCCAGAGCCCGGCGGACCTGCCCCTGGGGGCGTCTGGAAATGCCCCACGGCGAGGTCCGGCCCAGCACGGCCGCTGCCCCGCTCCTCACGCTTGTCGCCCCTCTCGCACCTCACCCCCCCCGGCCTCCAATGGAAGAGCCCAACCCCGCCGCCTCGGCCCGGAGCGCGGCGCGTTCCATTCGCAAAAGGGGGATGGGGGGAGGACGACGACCCAGGACCCCGCGGCCGTTCCCGGTGCGGGGCGACCCATCGGCGCCAAGGCGGGGGGGGTGGTAGCCCCTCCGGGCTCCCTCAGCGGGGTCGCGCCCGGGCAGGAGGAGGCTCTGCGCGGCGCCCCGAGGAGAGAGGACGGGGATCTGGAACTCGCGAGGTGCGGCCGCCCTCAGACTGGGTGTGGGATGGCCCCCGAGGCGAGGACAACGGGCTCGGCCTCCCCTCCGCGCCATGGCTCGGCCCTGTTTGAAGGTGAGGCGGGCCGGGGCCAACGGCGGTGCCGTGAGGGGAGAAACACCACCCCGGGCCCAGCCGCGGTGCCCTGAGGGGAGAGCCGCTGCCGCCCCGGGCCCATGTCCAAGCCACGGCCCGGCGACAAGCAGCAGCCCCCGCGGGAGGACGGCGGGCCCCGCGGCGAGGAGCTGCCGGCCCTCTGCCCGCCGCCCGGTACGGGGAAACGGCGAGCTGCCGGGGCCATCGTACGTGGAGGCCCCGGGGGTTCTCCTCCGGTATTTAAATAGGGTTAAGTGTTAATATTTGACACTGAGTGAGGTAGCGGCGCTTCCCCGCCGGGCGGCGGCGCTCCCGGCCGTCACTAGGTGTCAGCCGCGCTCCGCGGGACCGATCCCGGGGCGGGCTCCGCGGGTGGGTGCGGGCGGTGCCGGTGAGGAGCGGGGTCCCTCGACACGCACAGAAAGTGCGGTGTATTGGCTATACACCAACCCGCACGTTTTCACTTTGTCACTTAGAAAGCCGTCCGCTCGTTTATTTTTTTTAAACCCTTTTCCCTGGCGAGCCGTGGGTAGCATTCCTCCTCCTGCTCACTTCCATTCTGCTTTTCTACAGCCAGCCCTCCTCAGGCTCTCTCCATGAGCGAGCTACAGCAAATAACTGATGATATTTCCAAACTGACCATTGTGCACGAAATTGTGCTCGACGGTGACTTCAAACTGCAAGCAGCCAGCTTCTCCCCAAAAAGGTGCATGCATATATATATATTTACAGTCAGGCTTGGTTTCTTTCTGTCACGTTACAGAAAACGTGAGAATGTGGAAAGGAGGTAGATTTGGATCTGACTTTATAACCAACAAGAAAATAAGATAGCTCCTGAAATTAAAAAAAAGAAAAATGTTGGAGCTTCTTTTATTTATTCATTGCTTCATGAGTTACTACCAAGTTCTTAAATACGATGAGAGTCAGATATGACTCACTAACATTGAAAGATTTAGAGGCTTCAGCTGCGTAAGCCATGACTTTGACATTAACAAAGCAGAATTTTCAGTGGAAATCATCTTTGAGGTGTCTGTGTTTTAGTTAAAGATCTGTTTAAGTGAGTGACAATCTCTCATTGCAAAAACAAGCACTAACGGGGAAATCATTCTGTTGATCTTCTCAGAGGACTTGGAGCATTTCCTTGAAAAATGCTGTGCTCTTTTTACCCCTCTGTTAAGACAGGTTAAGTGCTGTGTTTTATGAACAGGGCTGAAAGGAAGGAGTTCTGCTTTAGAATAGGAAATTTAGGTTGAGAGAGCCTTCTGTGAGCTAGGGAAAGGTGAGGTGTATTGCTGCCAGTAAAGACTAAGAGAAAACATCAAGAGACGTGAAGTGCAATGAAAGCCAAGAGGAGTGGTCCCATTGAACTGAGGTTGCGTTTGATATTAATATAAAAGCTCTCCCCTCTCTTCTTTCTTAGCCTGGAAAACAGAGTGAAGGAGACATTGCACAAAGCCTTTTGGGACAGCCTGGAGGAACAGCTCTCCGCTAGACCCCCAGACTACACTCGGGCCATCCAGCTGCTGCAGGAGATCAAAGAGGTGAGCTGTTCCTGAGCCAGGGAAGATGGTTACCTTAGAATTAGTCTTCTCTGAATCATCACCTCGCCCCTTACATCCAGTATTCCTATGTGAACATGTGTGAGAGGGAGGAGAGAATAGGCTTCCTTTAGTTTATAGGGAGACACAAATTACACAACTGCACCTTCTAAAGCCTGTCTGAGAAGGAGACTCATTCTCTGGTCAGAGGTCTTTAAAACATGTACTCTACCAAAAGGATGGAAAGCTTTTGCTTGAACTGTAGTAACAGCCACGGGTCATTCCCAGTACAGCATCTGCAAAAAAAAACCCTGCAATTTTATGTAAAGACATCTCTTTAGGTGTATGAGGAGCAGTATCTACTATTTAAGTGTACAACGTAGTGGATAAGAACATGGTTTAGCACTGGAATGTTCTTTAGCAGGGCATGAAGTTGCATATAGTTTGCTCTTTCAGTCTGTGCTTTCCCATTAGGCTCCAGACAGATGACTCCATTTTTTTTCATGCATGACAGTAAAGGAGGTTTTGCAAGATTTGAAACAGTAGCCAGACATCCTGAAGTGAGTCATTAGAGACAAGCATTCCCTTAAAGCAATGGCGTGCTCCAGCGTTTGTGTACTGAGTAGTTAGCGTAGTCTCAGCGCTAGGCCAGCCTTGGTTCCTGTTGAGCAACTCTGGAAAACTGTGGAGTCCCTGGACCAAAAACAGACGGCTGCTTCTTTGGGCAGGGCCTGCTGTTGTTGCTGCTCCCACGGCACCACCAGCTGCGAAGCCAAATTGAAGAGGCCCTGGACATGGAGTTGATCAGGCAGGAGGCTGAGCACGGGGCTCTGGATATCCATGGTCTCACCACGTACGTCCTTGGCACGATGGCACGGCTGTGCGCGCCCATTCGGGATGAGGAAGTGCAAGGGCTGCAGAGCCTCACAGACCCAGCTCAGCTTCTCAGGTGGGTGATGCTGGTTCTGCCTTGGCCTACACACACCAAAACCAGCAAAGCCTTCAACAATAAAAGACTGGGTTAAGCAGAAACTCCCCCGGACCAAAGACCCTTTTGTGCATTCTGGGCCTTGACTTCCTTATTTTTTTTCAATGTAGACATATTCCGGTTGCCCAGCTGCAGTTTAGACAGTAGAAGAGTCTGTAGTGAAGTAAACCTGGTTTATCTAGTATTTTTTTAGGGACCACTCCAATTAGACCAAACAGGCTTCTGTGAAAAAATGGAACCAAATTAGAGGATCCAATTTCCCCTTTCTCAGCATTCTAAAGTGGCCCCAATTGCAGCACTTACTGCAGTATTAAACCTTCAATTCACTGTGTCTCATCCCAGGGAGATTTTCCGTGTGTTGGGCCTGATGAAAATGGACATGCTGAATTTTACTGTCCAGAGCATCCGCGCCCACTTGCAAGACCACACCATCCAGTATGAACGGAAGAAATTCCAGGAACTCTTGGATAAGCTGCCTAGTAAGTCAGTGGGGAAGGGAGAGGAGAACTGCTACTTCTACAGGAGCTACTAAAGCACTAAAAGGGAACTTTTAGTATTCCAAAGCTGATGCTTTCATCACACGCTTGGTAACAGATGAGAGAAATGCCTTTAAAAGCTGGAGGAGTCCTGGGTCCCTTCCTCAAGGCTCTTCACTAACATACCTTGCAGAAAAGACATTCTGTGTGCTTCGGTTTCTGCCTGTGTAGGACAGAGCTAATGGCTTTCTCATGAGAACTGTAAGTTCTCAGGCGTTTAAAGTGTTTGGAGATCCTCAGAGGAATGAGCACAACGTTGTTAGGAGGCATATTTAAAGAGGAAAGCCTGCATTTGATGTCGACATCTCTTTTGCATGGCTGTAGGTTTCTCTCTGGCTGCCTCTCTCCTTCCTCAGACTCCATTAAAGGTGCTTCCTAGAGACTGAAACCCTCTATGAAATCTCTGGATACCAGTCTTAGTAGCCTAACCCTGTGCCCTGGCAACAGGACATGGATATTGTGTGTTAGTGGTGGTGTAAGCCATTCCCCAGTGTTGCAGGAGCCAGCACATCACCTTCACCTTCCAAATGGGAGAGGGAAATGGAAATTGGAAGAGGGGAAATTTAGATATTAGGAAGAAATTCTTTACTGTGGGGGTGGTGAGGCTCTGGAACAGGTTGCCCTGTTGTGGCTGCCCCATCCTTGGAAGTGTTTAAGGCCAGGCTGGATGGGGCTTTGAGCCCTGCTCTAGTGGCAGGGGGGTTGGAACTAGATGATCTTGAAGGTCCCTTCCAACTCTAACCATTCTATGATTCTATGAAATGCCCGGCCCCTGCAGCTTGCAGCATGGCATACCTGCTTCTTACTGACTTAGCCTGACCAGTCTCTTCTTGCAAACATCTCTTTTTGTCACCCTGTTGCAGACTGCCTGGATCACACCAGAGAGTGGCTGCGCAAAGCGGCAGCAGAAGTGTCCGTGTCCTCTCCACAGCCCCCCCCCCACCCTGCAGGCAGCAGTGGCACAGTGGTGCCAAGTCTCACGTCCGTGCTAAATCGAGGGTACATGAATCTGCTCTCCTGGCAGCCTGGGCAAAAGGAATACCCTGAGGTAGGAGAAGTGCTTGGACCCTTTTGCAGCTTTTTCATAAAGAAATACAAAATGAACGAGTACTGGTTCTGCATCTTCTGTAGAAAGAACTTGCCAGACTCTCTGTTCCCTCTACACTGTGAGTCACTGCACATGGTTTTTCCCTGTTTGAAACAAATTGGATTTTTCACAAAACTAAAGCTCCCTGCTGCCGGGCAGCTGCCTTCCATGCAGCTCCATGGGGATGTTACAGCCCTGCTCCATGGCTTGAGAGCTGCTTGTTTATCCCAGCTGCTGTTCCTGCACCCACAGGCTGGTGTGGTTTCTGTTCACAGACACTGTTTATGGATCAGGCCCGGCTGCAGGAGGTACAAGCGCAGGTGAACCAGCTCACCATCATAGCTGCAGTCCTGCTGGTCACCAGTGGCATGTGTGGAAGCACCTTATTTGGCTCACCTGGGTTTGTAGCTAAGCTGAAACGGGTAACAAAGGTCCTCTTGGAAGGGCTGTCCTCTACCAGGTGGGTTACTTGAAGTTTTCCAGAAGAGCAGTGAGTATGCAGGTACTGGTTGTGGGATGAGCAGCAAGAATGTCCCCCAGGGGTGGAAGAGGTTTCTAAATCCAAATAGCAGCCAGGTCTACTGCAAGGAGGTGGGGGGAAGCCAGCCAGCCAGCCAGCATTTTTAGCTGGGAGTTAACTCTCTAGAGCAATAGTCACTTCTTGATTAGAGGGGAAAATTAGTGGTGCTGATCACTTATTTTATATTAGTCTGCTGCAGGGTAGCTTCCCGCTTGCCAGAGTGGGGAAGGGAAGCTTAGGTCACTTGCAACAGGCACCAGAGCTGTGGCTGAATGTTGGCTGTCCTGTGCTAGCTGGCTGTGATGACACTCCCTGGGGATGTGGAGAGACTTCCCTCCCTCCCTTCCACATCCCTGGAGAGGTTCAAGGCCAGGTTGGACAGGGCTTTGAGCAGCCTGGCCTGGTGGGAGGCGTCCCTGCCCATGGCAGGGGGTTGGAACTGGGTGATCCTTCAATATCCCTTCCAACCCAAACTATTCTGATTCCTTGTGCCTGCAAACCCCTTCCCCAACCAGTGCGAGTGGTGCCCACAGTGCATGTACCTTTGTATGATTTAGGTATGAAGCAGCTTTAGAAGACATCAGCGACCAAGTGCTGCAGGAGGTCAGCAGGGCTCTGGCACAGCTGGGTTACCCCGCTTTTACCACGGACAAATGTGCTTCCCTGAAAGGCCAGATAAAAAGCATCGCTGAGACGGGCAACGCAGTCCGGCAGGTCATGGGTGAGTCTCTGAGTTACGTCTCACTCAGCCTTGAAGACACTTTGTGCTTGCAGGCCACAAGCTGGGGTGAGGTCAATGACCTGCGGGACAGGCCCAGGATCGGTCCCGGCAAAGGAAACTCCCCGCTGAGCAGAACTAACTGCTTGGGGCTGGGAGCAGAGTTCAGTGTCTGGCCTCTCCACACGGTCTGCGCAGGAGAGGCGGGTCAGAGAAGCTAGGTTGGAAACTGCCTCAATTTTCCTGTTCCACCCTGAAAGGCTCCCAAACAGTAAATGCTTTGAAAAATCTCTTAAATCCTCCCTAAAAGCTAAACAGGCCAGAGTGCAGGGTCTGTTCCCAGGTAGTGTTGCAATCTTCAGGCTAGGATGTGGAGTGAGAGCTTAATCACTGGCTGTAGTAAAGCACCATGCTAAGATCTTTAAATAATATTTATCCCTAGGGAGTGCACCGCTTGGTATTCAGCTAACCAGCTGCCCTATAATGCTGCTCCATCAAAATATTTATTCAAATGGTTTGGATAAGAGCTGGTTATTTTGACCTTTTATTAGTACTCTGAACGCTAACTCCACATCAGATTGCAGTGCCACAGGCAGCGAATACACTACAGGAAAGATTATTTCCACATGGAAGACTAGCTTTTATCAGCTATGAAAATAAGGTGAGGTTCTTCCTGCCCACTGCTTCATCTGGTTAAGTATCCTTCCCAGCCCGTGTGGATTCCACCACACTGTTTATTTGGGTTTATTCTTTCCATGTCAGAGCAGGCTGTTTTGTTTCGCTGTAATCCAAAAGGCTGAATTAATGGCCTAACCCAAACCTCACTAAACTCCAGGCTGGGCAGCGTGTGCTGGCAGCGACTCGCTGACGGTGTGGCATCAGGAGGAGATGGTGTGGTACTAGAACAGCCTTCCCCTACCTCGGTCTAAAAACCAAACCCGTGTCTTGCCTGCGCTTTTGGCCACTATCAACATTTTCCACATACTCACCTGAAGTGCAAGAGCATCCGAAGCAGGCGAGTGGCTGAGCCCCAGCTCTGTGCCCTCAGAGAGGCTCCTTGAGGGCTCTCCATTCCCAAATGCTGCTGTGGCAGCGAGAGAAAGCCCAGGCTCTGAAGTTCTATGTTCTTTTCTGCTTCTAAGATGCTGGACATTTCACTGCAGTATGAAAACTCTCAGAGTGGGTGAAATATCTTTAACGTTAGGTTTGAAGGATTTGATCACTGTTAAGTCCTTCAGGCCAGTCCCCCAGCGACTGCCATCGTTAGAAGCAGGTAGTAGTATTTGGAAGAGGAAAACGTTAATCCACTGTGTCCCCAAGTTGATCTAGAGAGTCATTTGTCCACAACCTCCTGTCACAGCCTGGCTGTCCTCAGATCCACTCTTGTCTCGTGAGGAAGTCTTTGTCTCAAAACCAGCTTTCTCTGCAAAGTTTCATTGTTGATTTATTTGTTTTTGTACTTTTGCTCCCTACAGAGCAGCGGATTCATTCCTTCCTCAGCCTTTTCATTTCCCCCGATGGACAGAATTCACAAAAAGATTTCCCAAAGGGCCTTGATCCCATTCAGGAAGAGCTGCTGGAAGTCGGGCGCAGGTTTGGGAGCGTGATCCACCACAACAGGCAGGTGTTTGGACCTTACTACGCGGGAATTCTCCGGAAGGTGCTTCTCCCAAACGCAGAACCAGACTCGGACACAGGGATGGGTTCCCTCTGATCATCTTCAGCGCAAACCAGGCAGGAGTGGAAGGCATTCTCCAAGAGTTTCTGAAATCATGCTTCAGCTTGTAAAAATCAATCAGACAAATCCACCGGGGCCAGGGCTGCTACTGGGAAGTGACTCTTGGCATGTCAGCATCTGAATAAACCTCTCAACTACAAAAAGTTGTGGCTTTTTTCCCAAAAAACGTTATTTGGTGGGGAAGGCAATGAGATGCGGAGCTCATAAAACTGAGGTGCAACTTAAGCTTTTTTTAATTCAAGGTGTTAATTCTGCCATGGGCCCGTAACCTACTTTGCTGAAACATTAGTCACAGCCCAGGGACGCTGTTTGCATTTGATAAAGCCACATGGTATTTAAAATCATTAAAACTCCTCAATATATTTCAGTGTTAGCTTGGAAACCTGACTTACTGAATTATTAGAAATGGAACATATGGTATAAATTTAGAAATCCCTGGTGTATTTAGTATTTTACATCAGCCAGATTTTACTTGACATGAAAATGTGAACTTTAACCTGTATTTAAATGTCTGGATTTCTTGTTCTAATTTTACATAATGAAAACGTCCTACTTCTTGGCAAGCCCAAAAAGCTTTGCTGGGTGAATACAATGGCTGCCCAAACCTTTAAGAGTTGTTACATGAACCATGTGCTGCAGGAAAGTGATTTTAGCATTTATCATGAGTAAATCTGGGTCCTGACAGTGGAACAATTTTGGCAGATGGACATTAATGGGGCTAAAAATGAGCTTCTCACCATCCTGTGAGAACGTACCCAAAGCGGTTGGCAACCGTTCTGCTACAGGTAGGGCTACCTTCAACAGAATACGTGGATGTCTTTTTATGCGTTTTTCTCTAAATAATTTAGTATTTGGGGTCGTTATGACTAACTGCTAAAAGAGCAGCCTCAGCCAAAGCCTGTTCCGCTGCCAGAGAACCACAGCAGGACCAGGCCCAGCTCATCCGCGTCCCGCGCTCCACCTCCACCCTGCGCAACGCCCCGACCTCCTCTCCTTCCTGGGATTTCCAAAGTGCAGGTACAGCCCTGGGCTGAGCTAATTAAACACCAAATTAACTACCTGCCCTCACTCCTCCTTCTCTTACCTTCCCAGGTTTTTCAGACGAGGACGGCGTCGCTTTAACCAGGATGAGCAGGAGACTCCGGTTTAACGCTGAGGTCGCAGTGACAACAGCGTAAATGTGTGTCTAAGGTTGTTTATTAATTCAGTCTGTTCTAAGTTGTACAATTATGAAAACAACAAAACGACTGCTGGAAGCCCAGGAATATTTACAATCTCGCCTTGTTGTAGTGAGGTCAGTCTATGTCGTTGCACAGATTGGGTTATGTTTGGTACCACAAGATGTTTAAAATTCAGACAAATTTGAACAGATTAACAATTGTATATACAGGAAATAAAAGGAAATTCAAGTATCAAAATACAGACAGATTAAATAACATTTGTATTACAAATCAGTCCCACTGCCATACATCACAATTAGCAAAAATGTCTACATTGCAAACTGAACTCGACCGTTCTCTGCCCTGTGCGGGAATCTCAGGTTATTCTTCCATGGGTTAAAAAACAACAACAACAAAAAAAAAAGGTTTGAGCTAGATCAACTTTGCAAGAGCAGCACAGTTCCTTGTGAAAAAATAAAAAATAAAAAAAAAATGCAGTAAGTAATGCCAATAGGAGACCTAAAAGGGAGACCTTTTGCAACAAAGCGTCGCAAACGCGGTGCTTGCTCTAAAATAGACGTGATTGCCTGGAACGATGGGGGCGGGAGAAAGCCAGGGGAGATCCTGCTGCTGGGACCTCCTGGGGTGGGGTGGAAGGAGCGTTAAAGCGACCGACGCCACTTCAGCTGCAGACAGAGCTGGGGGGGGGATTCGGGGGGGACTATTTGGCATCGGGTCTGTGTCTCAGCAGCCTGGGGAAGGTACGGACTCGAGGTACGTCCTGGAAGGTGCCGTATCGTCTCCCTGGGACGGGGGGACAGGCACGTACCCGCCAAAGTTGCATAACTTCTAAAAAGAACAAGCCCAACGTGAGTTCAAAGCTGAACAGCTAAAATTAGCCTTTTTTTTTTTTTACATTTTTTTTTGTAAATACAAAATTAAAAAGGATAAAGCAGCTTCAATTTGGAAAAAAAAAATCATGGACTATTTGGCATCGGGTCTGTGTCTCAGCAGCCTGGGGAAGGTACGGACTCGAGGTACGTCCTGGAAGGTGCCGTATCGTCTCCCTGGGACGGGGGGACAGGCACGTACCCGCCAAAGTTGCATAACTTCTAAAAAGAACAAGCCCAACGTGAGTTCAAAGCTGAACAGCTAAAATTAGCCTTTTTTTTTTTTTACATTTTTTTTTGTAAATACAAAATTAAAAAGGATAAAGCAGCTTCAATTTGGACAAAAAAAATCATCCCCTCCTATAAAAAAAAAAAAAAAAAAAGACAACTCTGCATCTTGGTTTAGCTCTTGAGTTCTCAGCCTGGACTCATGGCGTGCACAACCCAAAAAGCCTGTAAAAAACAAACTCCTTAAAAAGGGGAGCGAGGCCCAGGGCAGCACCATTTTTTCCCAGGCAGGTAATACAGCAGATGCGTTTTGATTCCAAGTCCTGTTCAGCACCAGAAATTTAGGGCACTTCCCTCCAGACACCGCAAACCCTGTGGGGAGGAGGAGCAGCCAGAGCACTGCGCGACGCTGGGACGACTGGGAGACAGTGACTGGCCTGGTCCAGGGCTGGTCTCCAGCGTGAAGGTACCTTGAGAAAAACCCATCGAAATAGAAGGGGAGATGCGTTCCCAAAACAATTGCTTTTGCCTCTGAAGTGAGAAAAGAGAGTATCTGGCTAAAGAACTGTTGGATCACTAAAGACACCCATAGGATTACACGCGGGACTGGGAAGGACCACCAGGGTCAACCCCATCCCTTGGAGATTGGAGTCTTCATCACCACGTCACCTCCAAGCCGATCTTCCAAAAGCTCATGCAGCAAAAAAAAACCAAAACCACCAAAAAAATTCCAAAAGAAAGGTGTCCCTCCTCCCAAGCAGAGGTTCAATTTGCAATCTCTCCAAAAAGACTTGTTGCCAACACACCAAATATTTACACTTACACCAGTATGAATTGCAACATATGCATAACAAGGAATGTTAAGTTTCCTAAATTCATCAACTTAAAAAAAAAATAATAATAATCTCCACTTCCCCCTTTCTAATCATTTACAGGTCTATGCCCTTGGGATTACGGTTCACTTCTCTCCCAGCCTCGCTGGCTGGAGAGACTCAATGACGTCCTGACATACAGCAGCAACTGGAGTTAAACACTAATTATTTGGGCGTTATCGTTCTAGGAGAGCAGCAGGGAACCCCGTCCCCAGCCACGGGGAGGCCTGTGATCACAACAAATGTGCTGCGCTACGTTTTTGCGTCTGAAGAAAGAAAAAAATCACAACCATTTGAACGTCTCTCCCTGGAGGGGAACAGGACTGCGAGAACATCAGTCACAGCCAAACCTACTGCTAAATACTCTGGTAATTCAAAGAAAACCAAGCACACAGCACCTTTGAGACGGTGATTTTTGGGGATACCGGGCTTTGACATCCTCAGGTTAATATGATTTATCCTCAGGTACGGACTGTTTCAGTGTAATGCCCAAAATTTAACTCCTTATTTGTTCATCTTCTGAAAGTTGCACTAATTAAATAATGAGCTAGTATCAAAAAAGTGCTAAATCACAATTGAATGTACTTTTTTTTAAAAAAAGAAAACAACCAACCAACCCCAACCCTTCAGGGCATAACTGCATTTAAAAACAAGACGGGTGCACAGGAGGCTGGAGAAGGGCGTTGTCTCCAGGTATTCAGTGCGGAAACGGGAAGAAATGGTGTCCTTGCCATAGAAATGTCAAGTATTGCAACGCCAGAGTCCTCTGAGGGGAAGCTTCGTACCGATGGGAATACTTGGCCACAACCACTTGGGGGGTGAAAGATCCTTTGCAGATTCTTTTCCTTAAGTTATTTCCATTCGCTCTAAAAGAAGCCTGGAGCAGTTTGGAAACCCAAGGACACAGACTTACCCTGCAAGGCTTCTCCTGCTGGAGAAAGTTATTTCCAAGAATTTGGCGTTCTCTACTGTTCACCCAGAACCGAAGCAGGTTTAAGTACCGTTAGAGATGCACACACCACTCCCACTGCTAAGACTTTCTACTGTACTCCTTGCTGGACTGCGTGGATTCTCAGTAAAAAAAAGGGTATTTTGTTTTTTGTTTTTTTTTTTCCTCCCCCAAAAACCTGCAGTGCTACATTTAAACTGTGAACTGGATTTGCTCACACGTTATAAAATAACAAAAACGGGTCGAAAGACATTTGTCTCAAACTAGAAAAGGTGACATCGCTCTCGGAAGTCTCAACTTTTCCTTGCTAGAAATGGAGGGAGCTGCTTTTGCTCAGCCGGTGGCTGGGATCCCTCTCTCCCCCCTCTGCTTTAGGAGCCCCCACCGAGCCCCCGCCTCTGAGGCAGCCACCGGTGCCAGATGGAGATGATCTTCACGTCAGCAGGTCACTGCTTCCGAGGTCTCTGCCCCGTTACTACATTTCCGTGGTAGGAGACAGCTGCCCGGAGATCAGCTTTTCAGAGGCAAACAGAAAGGAAGATAATGGAATGAATGATGTTCCGAGTCACAGGAAAACAAGCGCTGGGGAAGATGAGGCCAAGAGGAGCCGAGACGCAACCGTGAGGGTTATGGACACGTGGTGGAAGCTCTGGAGTTGGGGCAGGGCTGGCTGTGGCCCCGGATGGTCACCCTTGGAAAGGCACAGGCTCTAGTGACCCGGTGTGGAAGGAGGTGCCGAGGGACCTGCCCTTCCCCACCTGGACCTCAGACCCTCTGAAGGGAACGTGTGGGCAACTGCACGGTAAACACTTACACCCAAACTGCACCATCGCTAGCACCAATTCAGCTTCTCTTTGAAGGATATGGAAAACCTCAGGGCACTTCTTACAGCTTGGAAAGATGCTGATCAACCCCAAACCCAACCTCTCGGGGCACGTCAAACAGCAATACTCTGCTCTCCACAACTGCAGTGTGACCTCTGCTTCGGGGTCCTTCGGCAGAGAAGCACTGGCTCTATGCTGAGGGGCTCCATGCCATATGAAATATATGTACTAGACTGAACTTTCAATTTTTTTTGTAGACAGTCTTTTAAGTCCTATCACTGAGGTTCTCGCTGGCCTGGCCCTTATTTTGAAGTCAGTTTGCCGCTCAGTGCCATTAAGCCACAAATGACTTGGGAGATCAAACTCACTCCTGAGAAAGAGCTAAATAAAAGATTTTGAAACATCTGATTTTACCTCAAGTCTGGGGAGACAGAAGCTTTGAGGGAACTGCTCTAAAGCCCCAGAAAAACTCGGACAAGCTTCTTCCAGCCCCTAAATATCAGGTGCAAATAGTCCAGCACTGCTGTTCTGGCCAACTGGTGACTGTGAAGGGAGATTTGGGGTAAATTCTAAAAGCTGTTTTGGAAATGGAGCTTTACTGGAGATCCGAGTGTCTAAGATCTGCCCCCAGAGGTGAGCTGCCACCCAGCCCTTCCTCACAGCTCTAACACCCACCCAGCATCACCACCAGTCTCCACAACTGGGCTGTGAGGGGATTCTGCCAAGACGTCCAACCCACGGTGAGTTGAGACGCTCACACCAGGGTGCAGATGGGCTGCAGGCCCTCTCTCCCTGCCCCCTCTGCCCCGGGAGAGGGGCCCCAGCCGCTGCCCGCGGGGACGTCGGGTCCCAGGGGCTGGTCTCCGCCAGCCGAGCGCCGGAGCTGTTAGAGAGCGAGGTGAGTTGAGACGCTCACACCAGGGTGCAGATGGGCTGCAGCCCCTCTCACTGTCCCCTCTGCCCCGGGAGAGGGGCCCCAGCCGCTGCCCGCGGGGACGTCGGGTCCCAGGGGCTGGTCTCCGCCAGCCGAGCGCCGGAGCTGTTAGAGAGCGAGGCTGAGCACTGGGGGTTTGCTGCCACGGTGTGGAAGTCCCAGAGCCTTTCACTAAAGCGTCTTAAAACCTCTCTGCAAACAGAGCGAGCCTCTCACCCCGAGAGGAGGGTAAATACATCCCCATCCTGCACAGAGGGAAACAGGTAAAGAGAGACAAAGTTCCCAGGGCACACAGCAAGCCAGGGAGACGCAGCACCAGAGCAGGAGTGCTGCCTCCCAGCGCTGTGATTCATCAGACCATCCTCCTCCTCAGTTTCATCTCTGAGCTTTACCAACTCAAGCAAAGGAACCAGGGGCAGGACCATGGATTTCTGGGGGGCTTTCACGGGGTCCTGAACTGCTGGCATGGCATCCCCAGCCCTGCCCTGACCTGTGCCAAGTGCCTGCCGTCTCACACAAATGATCCCCAGTCACATCCTGGAATTAAAAGCTGCTTCTACTGAGAGAGACAGAAACAGGGACGTTCTCCTGCAGGAAAATCACACGCACTTGAGAAGCTGCCAGAAAAGGCAGCGGTGGGCACTGCAGAGCCATCTCTCAGTGAAATCCTGGCTCTCAAGGACAGAAGGCGACAGATGTTTCAAGATCCCTACAGCCCTCACGGTGCAGTGGTTTGCAGACTGAAAACAAGCCTTGGGATCAGCAGCAGACTGATTTCAATCACGTTCCTCCCTTCGGCAAAAAAACCCCGTACACCTGCAGGGAAGCCTGCTGAGCACCACAGAGCTCCGACTGCTTCGTCGGGCCTCCACCAGGGCAGCATCCAGCCCCTCTCAAAAAACCTCCCCAGCACGGGGCTGACAACATTTGCCTTTAAAAGCTTAACCTCCTCATGCTACGCCCAGAGCTTGGTGAGTGTAAACAGAAGGACTATGGGGGAAAAAAGTCCTGCAAGGGACTGAAATGCAACCGAAACCACCCCCTCATCTCCGGGGGGGACGGAGCTCACAGTGGGAACGATCACACCCGGCCCAAACCAGTGCTCCCCAGCAGAGCAGGTTTTCTGTTCCAGGCTTCCAGGGGAGAGACTGTGGGCGAAGGGTCCCAGTGAGGAAATCTAGTGAACGTGTGTTATTTGCAAGACAGCATCACAGTGGTTAGTGTCGGCTGGAGTGGCAGGTGGAAGAGGGTGAGTTCGCTGGAACAGTAACGCAGCCGTGGCTCAGTCGGACAGAGGAGGATCGAGGAGGGGGGGTGCGTGCACCGTGGAGACAAGAGGTCTCCATCAGTCCAAGGATAAGAAGGTGAAATAGAAAGGAAAAAAAAAATAATAAAAGGCCTGGGGAGTGTCACCTTGCCCCAGGGATTCACAGTGCCAGAGCGAGGGGAAAGACGTGAAAACGGCAGGCGGCTTCCTGGGTCCACATCTCCGGTCCCCAGCCTGTCTCCCTCTGCTCCTCCCGCCTCACTGAGATCTACCAGCGTTACCCTTGTTTCCGAGTAAGGAGAATTCACAGTGTTCAGTAGTGATCAGGTACAAAAGCCGTTTAAAGTCTACAGTCTCCTAAGTGCTGCTGCTGTGACGTAGTGCCTACGCGGGGCTCAGTGCGAGCAGCTGGAGGGAGAGGGAGCTTAGAAGAGCAGAGAGATCAGATCGCAAAGGCACGGTTAGACTGGGCGGACGCGGGGTGTTTGCTTTAGAAGATAGTGGTCTCATACTTAGTGCTGAGGGTCCGCTTGGAGTCCTGTTTGGGGTCCACGACCCAGGAGACGCTGGCATGAGACTGGGAGTCTTGGTCCACTTCAGGGGGCTCCAGCTGGAAAAGAAGGAGAGAAAGGGGCACGTCAGGTCAGCCGTGCTTCTGCCGCACGACGAGCGGGGACTCAAAGCACGGAGAGGCCGCTGCTCTGCCTAACGCCCGTCCCAAAACCGTGCACGTGTGCGGGGAAGCAGCTCTGGCTGGGGAGGCACTCGAGTCCTTCACGGCTAAAACGTGTCTGGCCACGTCAGTCTCAACCCAGCACCCCGAGATGACTTTGAGTCAGGCCCGCGAGCCCCTATTACCGTGAGCGACAGCTTCGCTTCGTCTCGCGAACGAGCATGAAAAATTGAGCTCTATAGAGATGGCACTATAAAAAAAAAAAAGTAAAAGAGGCAGAGGGAGAGAGAAGGAGACAGCTCCTGGCAGGTGAGCTCCCGCGTGATTTACTCTCCTGACCAAGCGAGGCTCTTTCATCTTGTCCTCCTAAATCAGGATCCTACGGGAAGGTTAACAACACCAGAAAGAGCAAGGCAGTTAGTTGAGAGCTGCCACTCTCCATCAGCGGGGGCAGATCCGAGCCCTTTCTCCCTGGGGATCAGCTGAGCCCACGGCGGGGCCCTGGAAGGAGCAGGGGAAGGGAAGGCAGCGGCGAGGCAGGACACGGGGACCACAGCAGGAGAGGCGGGACGCGGGGAGGCGGAGGGGGCAGCCCGGGTCGGGGGGTGATGGAGGGTGGCAGGAAGAAGGGTAAAGACCTTGGCTCCAGGACTAACAGACTGCAGCGGCAGGTAGGAGGGGCGGTGTGTTGTACAGGTGTGACAGTAACAACAGCGGGTGTCAGGAGGGAGCGGCACCTGAGCGGGGGGAGCAAGCAGAACACAGACAAAAGGAGACATTAAAGGAAGGCAAATGGTTTATGCAGCAGTCCCTGCTCCTCAGCAGCTCCAGCTTGGGCTACAGGGACACTCCTGTGCTTCAAAACACAGGTTACCGACCGATCTTAGGGAGGTTTCTGCTGGGTTTGCACATGGAAGCTGTGCTGGACCCAGCAGGGCACTTAAACCCCATCCCACCCGGGCTATTTCCACCTCTGCTTGCCCTCATCCTGCCCACAGCAGCGCCACAGACACCGCAGCAGCACCTGAAGTTACAGCCATCGTGTCCACATCAGGGCCCCCACCACCACGAAAGGGGAGGTTTAGGGGTGCAGTGCCCAAGAGAAACCCCAGCTCAGCCCCCGCGGCCGGCCCCGCGCGTACGTACTGCGGATTTCCTCGTGCCGGCTCGCGGCTTAGGCACCGGTTTGGAAGATTTCGTTTCAATGGTTTCTCCTGCTGCAGCGCCCAGGGGCTTCGCTCGCTGGGCCTGGAGGGCCAGCTGGTAGGCGACCTCGAACGCCTGCCCCAGCGTGAGGATGATCTCGTACGTCAGGTTCTTTGGGGAGACCAGAGAAACAAGGAGCTGTTAGATGCCTACGAGTCACCTACGTGTCCACGTGCTCAGCAGCTCGCTCTGGAGATGCCGACCTTGGCAAAGCCCAGCACCTTCCAGCAGGTCCCATCCTGGCAAAGCCTCTGAGCTCCTGCCCCCTGGGGAAACCAGCCCCGAGCCACCCCCACGCTGGCACAGCCCCGGCTGGTGGGACCCCCCGTGAGCCCCCTCCAGCATCGCAGTTTAGCAGCGTTTTGCATTGTCAAGGAAAAAAAAGCCCAAACGTCTCATACAGCCCGTTCTGCTCAAGAATAAAAGCAAGTTATGCTTCCACACTCTCAGTGAATTAAAAGGCTGTTAAATCAGCCTATTACACTCAACGTAATTGAGAGCGTATTAGGGTTTTGTTCACGGCATATTCCCCAGGAGGGAAAAACTCCTGCCCTGCTTTATTCAGCACTGGAGGCCACACTAATGACACCAGACACGTATTCTCTCTGTCAACAGAGCTCCAAAGCAAAAGCATTTTGAGCTGGGACTCAGAAAGGAATATTTTAGGGTAGAAACAGGTAAAAGAGCCCTAGAATGGAACAGATCCTGCTCTATGACTCGCCAATAAAGCTGAGGGATGAAGTAAGTGGTCTGCAAAGGACCACACGTGCTGGGGGGCGAGATGCAATGACCCACTCACCACATCCACGGTGCTGAAGACGTGGCAGTAGTGGTGGCTGGTCTGCAGGTCCTTGGTGATGTAGGCGAACGTGCAGAGATCCTCGGGGTCCTGAGCGGCGCAGGAGATGTTCCGGATCTCGTGCTCAGCAATGACATTCTGCCGGGGTCAACCACAAGCACTCGTCACCCTTCTGGGGATGGCAAATACACCCGGCAAACGGTGGTCGTGGCAAGTGTGTACTGGGGGCGGGGAGCAGGGGGTCTCCCAGCCAGCCCAGTCCTAGGTCCCTCCCATGGTAGGAATAAATGGCAACATGGTCCACAAGCAACCAGTTTGCCCAGCCCTTGGCATTCAGATAGCCATCACTACCTCGGTGCTCTCCTGTGGTGTGGAGAAATTGGGCTCCTCAGGATCAGCCGTGGCTTCTGGAGCCACTAGATACGACCCGGAACACCCCAGAAGGTGGGACTGTAGGTCTTGTTCCCCCAAACACCAGCTTGGAGGCATCTGAAGCTCACCTTGTTAGAGGCATCGATGAACTTCACCCCCTTGTACGTGATGGACAGTATTATGGTTGGGATCTTCTTCATATGCTCTGTGGATTTCTTCAGAAACAAGAACATGCAAGTGGTCAATTGTGAATAAATGCTCCTTTGTCATCACCATCCCAGCCCACCCCAGAGACCCCCAGCCCACTGCTCCACAAAGGCAGCCCTTGGGGGTCTTGGACCAGGAGGAGGAAAGCTGGCTCTTGGTGGAAGCAGAGGGGAAGGGATGGGGATCTGAAGTGAACCCAGCACCCCCTTCCCCAGTGAGAACACCCGTTCTCCCACTGCACAGACCTTCCAGCCATGGGGAACCTGGGGAGGGACAGTTCACCAGTGACAGTGGCGCGGTCTGTTACGTGGCCCAGGCTCCTGCTCAGCACATGGGCAAGCCCGCAGGGTTTGGGGAACCACAGCTCCACCGAGACCCCCCAAACCCCTTGTCCACATCACCCACCACCGGCTGTGAGCGGATCCCCCCTGTCCCTGTGGCCCCCGTACCCTCATCTTGGCGCAGGCGTCCTGCGTAGACTCTGTCCCGCGGAGGTCTTTGATCAACATGGAGCCCAAGTACTGTTTGGAAGAGAGAGAGATGTTCAAGTCGATGCCACGGCCCCACAAGTGACCAGTAGCTCCAGTTTGGCAGGGACAGGTTGCCCGGGGCGGCGGGGAGAAGTGTGACAACCCCCCACGCATCAACCTGACCCCAGAGCCTCCTCATCCTCACCACCTCCACAAGCCAAAAGCCACTTACGTTGGCCTCGTACCCGCAGGACTCGAAGATGAGCTTCTCGGGCTGATGCTGCCAGTTTTGGACTGGGGCGTAGGGGGCAGCCAGGCTGGGGGGGCGCAGGGTCAGCTTTGACTCCCGACGGTCCTCCTGGAAGGGAAGAAACGTGGATGTGAGGCCACAACAGAGCCAATGTGGATTGAAAGACGGATCTTGGGAGGGCTTTTTGGGCTGATGGATTTGAGGTTCCCACCAGCCACATCCCACAGGGCTGGGAGGAGGCAGCGGGGGCTGATGGAGGTGGGAGTCACCCATTTCCAAGGTGAGACTGAGACATAAATGAGTTGCTGGCTCGAATGCCTGAGGGGAGCAGTGCACGACCAGCTCTCTGGCCCTTCGTGCATCACCCTAACTCCTTGCTGGCTCCAGAGAGGGGGGAGCCTGCACTGAACTGCACGGAGGGACCCCCAGGACACAAAACCACCCACTGACCTGTGCTTTGTAGCGCTCGGCTCTGGAGTAGGGAGTAACGTCGGTGCCGTGGTCGTGTTGCCTCTTCCCGGTGTCCCCGGAGGGCAGCAGGAGATCGGCTGATCTGCCCGTGCAGGAGTCGTTCTGGCTCAGGGGTGATGATGTCTGGGACATCAAGTCCTGGCACTAGAAGCAAGCGGACACCAAGAATCGTGGTGGTCAGGCTGTGCCACAGCCGTGCCCAGCCCTCGCTGCCCTCCGCAGCCTCCGACACGAAGGGTGCAGAGAGCAGAGATAACGGGGTCAGCTCCTGCCTCAGTGTCACCAATCCCACCGTTTATTTTCCGCTTGATCCCCCGAATTTGCTCGGGGATGGTTTCAGGTGGGTATTTTCAGCCCTTTCTGCCAAGCACACCTCCCGCCAGCAGGTCCCGGGAGGGCAGGAGATGGGGGAGGCTGCGGGCAGGCTGTTTCCAGAGGAGCAACCTCTGCTAAAGCGCTGAGCAAAACAGCACTCCGAGCTGCTGACCATCAACCACCCCAGGAGAAAAGCCTCGGGGAGCCCAGCGAGAGATGAGCCCAGCTGCCTGACAGCCTGGCTCTCACTGCAGGCGAGGGGCCCGGCAGGCGACGCGGGGAGCTCACAGCTGCGACGCGCATTAGTCCTATTCAACGCGCTCCCTTAATTTGCCATTGACGTCCTTCCGCTCCCCAGGCCGGAGCCAGGCGCTGGATCCCACCAGCTGCAGCACCAGGAAATGCTGCAAATGGGCCCATTCTCTCAGGCAGCCTCCCCCCACCCAGCACAGCAATCAGGCCGTGCTGCACCAGAGACACCCCCTCACCCCCCGCTACAACCCCCCTTCGGTCTCTGCAGACTCAAGAGGACGTTCCAGCCAAGCACAGACCCTCAGCTGGTTACTGCCCTTTTTGGCTTTTGTGTCTGAAAAAGGCGTTGTTGAGAGCGGGTTTATATGTGGCACCTCCCAGCTCCTGAGCACACCCTCCCAGTGCAGAACCAGTAGGAACCCTCTCTTTTTTTTAACACCTGAACTGCAGTTCTTTAAAAAAATCCAGTGTGAGCAAGGAGGGCACAGCAGCCCAACCCATTTGGCTCTGACTGTTTTTGGTTGAAACCTTCTGCTCTGCCCTGGTGGGGCCCCATCTGGAGCACTGTGTCCAGTTCTGGGCTCCCCAGTTCCAGAAGGACAGGGAACTGCTGGAGAGGGGACAGCAGAGGCTACAAAGGTGATGAGGGGCCTGGAGCATCTCTCTTACAAGGAGAGGCTGAGGGACTTGGGTCTTTTTAGTCTGGAGAAAACTGAGGGGGGATCTGATCAACACTTATAAATACTGAAAGGGTGGGTGTCAGGAGGATGGGGCTGGTCTTTTTTCAGTGGTGCCCAGGGACAGGACAAGAGGAAATGGGCACAATCTTGAATAGAAGATGTTCCACCTCAACATGAGGAGGAACTTCTTCACTTTGAGGGTGGCAGAGCCCTGGAAGAGGCTGCCCATGGAGGTGGTGGAGTTTCTGTGTCTGGAGACATTCAACACTCCCCTGGACATGTTCCTGTGCAACCTGCTCTGGGTGGCCCTGCTCTGGCTGTGGTTTGGACTAGATGATCTCCAGAGGTCCCTTCCAACCCCATATCATTCTGTGAAAAGCCTTGGGAACCCAAGGGAAGAGGGAAGAGCCCTGCAGCAGGGCAAAGAGCAGATGTTTGGGATGGGGAAACTCCAGTCACTCCCAATTCCTGCTCCAGGAAGCTGATCTGCAAACACTGGGAGGAAGCAGCAGGACCCGCTCACCCCCCCATGGCACGTCGCCCGCTCCCGAGCCCACAGGTTACTGCAAACTAAGGGGTTTTGCCAAACTCAGCTCTCAAATGCCACTTTTCAGGAAGAGCGGCCAAGGCGACGGCTCCCCTCGCAGCCACCCCGATAAGGAAGGGCCTGACATCCAAAGGCTCCCGCAGGAAAAAAAAAAAATAAAAAAAAATTAACAGCCACAAATCATGTCAAGTGCTATTTGGCAGCAGGAGCAAGAGCTCTGGAGAAGCCCGACCAGCCCAGGGAGACAGAGCTCAGACTCCCAAGGGGCGCAATCAGAACCCGGGTCCCAGCTGCGTCCCATCGCAGCAGCTGAGCCGTGTCACACTCCTGCCACGGGAAGGGCTGCCTGGCAGCTGCCCAGGGACCGGGGCAGGAAAACGGGCTCCGCGTCCCCCTTCGGAGCGGGGCACGGAGCTGGGAGCAGCGCCCAGTCCCACTGCGGGCACCCACCTTACACGGAGGCACCTGATTGAAGGAGCTGCCCAAGGCTTCCCATGGGGCAGGCACCCAGAGTTTGATCTGAGAGGGCTGAATGTTATTTTCCCCTCTCATTTCAATAGCAGGGTCCTGCCTGTCCAAATATTTGCTGCTTGGGTTGCCAGAGCTGGTAAGGTAAAAACTGAACAGATACAACTGGCTACACGAAGGTTTCTCCCAGTGCTGATACGTGACACTGGAAGAGAAGCTGTGGCTGCCCCATCCCTGGAGGGGTTCAAGGGCAGGTTGGATGGGGCTTGGAGCAACCTGGTCTGGTGGGAGGTGTCCCTGCCCAGGGCAGGGGGTTGGAACTTGATGATCTTTAAGGTCCCTTCTAACTCCAACCATTCTATGATTCTATGATAACGTTTTCACATACTTTGGCTTTGTTTTGCACAGGGAAGATGGAATTTGACTGGCAAAAAAGAAAGCTGAGAGCTGATAAACTCATCCACTGCTTCAGCTGGAGTGCATCTGTCCAAACAGTGACGTTTTGGGGCCCAAATAGCAGAATTTGTCCAGCACATCAACTTCATCATTTGTTTTTACCCTGCCCAAGTGCTCCAGTTGCTCCAGCCGAGTCTGAGCCAGCCCGGATGCTCCAGTTCCCCAAGTTCTGCCTGACCAGTGGGAGGACTGGGCTCTGCCTCCTCTCCAGCAGCAGCCAAGGTGCCTCCCTGGGAACTGGTTAACGCAAAAATCTCCCTCCTCCGCACAGCCAGATGTGCAGACGCCTCAACGCTTCAGGAACTTTCTTCCCACACCACCAAGTATCCGAGAACCAGGAGGAACCCAAGCTTCCAGGTCAAATCGATTATTTTTTTTTTAAAGAAGGAACAATCCATTTGGGTTTTACCCTTTGCTTTTTTAAAAAAAGCAGTGCAATTTTCAAAGATCACTCTCTATACTTATTACTCTCAATACTTAACTTCAAAGGAGTTTTAACTAAAATATTGACATTACAGGGTTTTTTTGCCCCCTTTTTTTATTGATTTTGCCAGGCAGAGTTTCCTGAGCATGAAAGCAGCAGAGTGAGGCTGAACGTGCCTCCCCCTCTGCGCCTGAAAACCCATCCAGGACCTGAGTTCTCAGTAACACCCTCTCCAGAGCCCTGTGTCCCCCAGAGGTGACAGCTGCTGATCAGAAAGGGGACAGTTATTCCTGACAGACCCAGGTTTAGTTCTTTGAGAGAGAGGGAAGCGCAGGAGGGTCAGGGCAGGAGGAAGCAGCCCAGCTGCAGCCCAGCGCGCTCGGCACAGACACATCAGCCGGGCTGGGACACACAGAGACTCACTCTCAGCTGCGAGAACCGCGGCGGCTTTGCTGGTGGCTCCTCGTAGGGTCTGTCTGCCAGGGAGGCGATGATCCTCTTCCGATGGCCGAGCAGATTCACTTTCAGCACCTGCAGGGACAGACCACGGTCGCTGTAGGTTCTCCTGCCCTCGGTTTTCCTGCAAAGCTTCCCCCTCCTGGAGCCACGCTGCTCCCCCTTAACCCTCATCCCTGCAAGTCACAGCCCCGGAGGGGACGGGGCAGGACCCCACCGCCACGGCAAGAGAAAGGTAATACTCACGTTCACTATTTCAAGCTCCCAGAGGTTTTTCACAGTGTCAATAGAGCTGTAGCCACTCGACAGGAAGGACTGGATGTAATCCTGCAGCCCCAGGGAGTCGAGCCAGGCGGGAACCGAAGGCTGGCTGTTCCCATCGCAGCCCAGGGGTTTCAACTGGAAAAGCACAAGCCAGAAAAAAGGGGTTAAAAGCCCCAGAGGGCTGGGATCCCAAGGCATACAGTGCCGATTTAAATCAGTTTAAAGGCCATCACCATCTCCACTAGCAGCTTTAAAGTAAAAAAAAAATATCACTGTATAAACAGGGGGAGGGGGTCAAGATAGGCAGGAGGGACACCCACCCTCTCATGGATGGAGTCATCCCATCCACACAGTCTGAAGGACCAATATATTCCTCCTCCCTGTTATTCCCAAACTCCTTCCCTCAGATCCTCTCCCTGAGTCACAAGGACGTGGCTGGGGTCACAGGGACTGGCTTTTGTCTCCTCTGCTTTCACAGCCATCCCCATCCCTGCTTCACAGGAGGGGTTTGGGCACTGACCTTGGGGAGGGAGCGAGCAGCCTGGAGCAGCTTCCGCCGGTGCTGCGGGTCACCGATCCCGATGTCCCGAAGGTCCTGGTCTTCCATGACATTACAGCCCTGTGGGGACAAGACGGGGTGACATGGGAGCAACAGAAGGGCAACAGAAGTGGCATCAGGTGTGGGAGCGGAGACCATGTGTGCTGCAGCACCCTCCTGACCTCGCTGTCCCCACGGCAGGAGGAGGAGGAGGAAGGCTCCCAAGGACGGCAGCTCTGCCGCACACACTGACCTCGGGCACTGAGGGGGGTGACAGGAGAGGGGCTGTGGCACAGACAGCACTGGTGGGGCAGAGCAGTGCCATCCCCTCCCTCCTGCAGCCCCCAGCTCCCATTGGATTTCATCCCTTACAGCCACCTTCCTGCGTGATGCCCAGATGCGTTAATCACCCCCTAACGATGCCCCAGTAAACCCTGCCACCCCCACGCTCCGAGCCCGAGAAGCAGCACTCAGCTCTGCTCAGCCTCCTCCACGGCCACAGAGAAATCTGAATTTCCTTCCAGGAGGAAGACAAGCAGAGAGGAGAGCAGATAAGGTCAGATTTATCCTCCATCCCCCAGGCAGGGAGGCAACGAAGCCCGCTCCGGCAGAGCTGCCCTGGTAGCCACACAGCACTCCGTTAAAGCCCATTTTCTGCCCTCCCTTCCCCCTGCAGAGCACTAACGGACGCATGAAGAGCACACAGACATCACCCCCCCTCTGAAAAGCCATCACAACCCGCTCCCCTGCCCCTCGTACCTGGGGGAGCTCAGTGGGAAGCCCGGGCACGTCTCCCCATGGCTGGCAGAGCAGGCTGCGGTCTGACCGTGGGTTTCAGCTCCAGCCCAGACCCCCCCACGCTCCCCAGACCTGCCTCCCCCTGCTCTCAGGAGAGTCACAGCTGAAGGTCTCAGCTGAAAGTGCTTTCACTGCTCCACATTTTGGTTTTATAAGAGAAACCTAATTAAAATTGGCTGTCGGGCAATAGGCTGCTGCAAGGGCAGCCAGGCTGCAGGAACAGCGGGGCCGGACGGCCAGGGTGTCAGGAGGGGGAGATGGCCAAGGAGCCTCTTTAATGGGCAGCAAATGGTTCATATTCCTTCCCACCCCACACTTTCTGTAGTGTTTTTGCTAATTACTACCTGCTTTAAATACCACAGCCAAACGTGACAGCAGCGAGCTGCTCCCTGAGCCACCCCAGCGTGTGGGGACAATGGTGCCTCCTGCACGGGCAGCCACACGGATGCTCCTGGACCATCACACGGGGCTGTTCGCAGCCGGTGGGGAGAGCTCGCCTTTGGCCACGGCTTTCTGAGAGTCACCAGGTGCATTTCATGGAGCCAGATGCCACGATGGGATTCCTCCTGCAGCCAAACGCCGTCTGGCTTGCTCCTGGCAGCGACAGCATCCGCTTTGGCTCCTAATTTGCTCACTTTGTGCTACACCAGCCCCCAGCCCGGGCAGCATCGCACCCACCGCTTCCACGGACAACTGCTGGGTAGGAGCCTTTCCCCTCAGCCACAGAGATAAGTGTTTGGAGAAACAGAGAATTAAGGCTACAGATAAGAGATGCCCGAAGCAACCTCGCCGGGAGAGCTGCCCTCCGAGGCCAGACTGCAGAGAAGCAATTATTTAGCGAGTGACGGGGGCAAATTAAAGCAGTGGGCGGTGGGAAGGGGCCCTGCAGCCCCTCCTCCCTTGGCAGGAGGGGATCCCGACGCCCTCGGTTCCTGGCAGCCGTGGGGGGACGGAGACCGCAGATCTGGAGCAGACAGGCCGCAGGACAAAAGCATTTGTCTAAGAGTTGTTTAAAGAGCAGACAGAGCCGGGACCAAAGCCCCTGCAGCCGAGGAGGGTGGTTTTCTCCCTGTTTTCCAAAAGGTCAGTTTATTCCAGCAGCGCTGGTTGGTGGTGCCACGGCCTGCTGCCAGCTGGATGGAGCCACTGCCACCGCTCGGGACGGCACCGTGGGTGGGCACAGCCCTGCAGGGACCCGGGACACACCAGCACCTGCCTCTGTCTGCGATCGCTCCCCACGTAGAGCCACAGAAGGGATTGGGTGGGAAGGGACCTTAAAGACCATCAGGTTCCAACCCCCTGCCCTGGGCAGGGACACCTCCCACCACACCAGGTTGCTCCAAGCCCCCTCCAACCTGCCCTTGAACCCCTCCAGGGATGGGGCAGCCACAGCTTCTCTGGGCAACCTGGGCCAGGCTCTCACCACCCTCACACCAAACAAGTTCTTCCCCACAGCTCAGCTCCATCTCCCCTCTTTCAGGGTCAAACCGTTCTCCTTTGTCCTGTGGCTCCCCTCCCTGATCAGGAGTCCCTCCCCAGCTTTCCTGGAGCCCGTTGAGGGACTGGAAGGGGCTCCAAGGTCTCCCTGGAGCCTTCTCTTCTCCAGGCTGAACCCCCCCAACTCTCTCAGCCTGTCCTCCCAGCAAAGGGGCTCCAGCTCTTGGAGAATCCTGGTGGCCTCCTCTGGCCCAGCTCCAACAGCTCCATGTCCACGTGAAACCCCCCTCTCAGAGGCAACACTACACCCTGAGCTCTGTGCAAGGATGTAACTATGGCACATAAGCTGCTCTGTGCACCCCTCAAGTGCACAAAATTTTTTAAAAAGAAGGCTTTTTGTTGGTTGAAGGCTCCAAGGGTGCCCAGTTGGTGGAAGAGCAGCAGCAGATTCTGCTGCATCGAGAGCAAACCCTCTGTGTGAATAAAAGCAGCTGCTGTCAGAGGCAGCGATCACTCCGGCTTCTGCAGCAGCATCCCACCAGGAAAAAAATACAAAAACATCCTCCCCTTTCTTGCTCACACATTTTAAGCCAAAAAGCCCCATTTAATGTGCATTCCTGTAACAGCAGGAGATTGTGTGCTCAGCGCAGGGGAAGAGGGAAAGTATTAAAGGCAGCCCAGCTCCCCTGACACACGCCTTACCTGGCACAAGCCTTTTTGCACGCTACGACTCCGCTGCAGGAGCTGCCAGGGGGTCCTCGGGGGGCAGTGTATGTGTGAGGAATCCAGCTCTGAGAGGCATGTGGCTTTTAAAGAGATTTTTTTTTTAAAACAGACAGAAAAGGGCTAGAGCAAGCGATGAGATTTCTCCTCTAAGCCTGGAGAGCAAAGCATTGCTGCCCTGCCTGGGGGAGCAAAGGGGGACACAGGAAGGGACTGACTCACCAAAGCAAATTAATGTCACATCTTGGGTGCCAGAAACTTGCAGATTCCAACACCTCAGTCCTCTCTGCTCCCCCCAAACCTGCCCGTCCTGGTGTTCTGCTCCCGAATTTCTCTGTGATGCACCGGGTGCCAGAGCTGCGGGGGGGCTAGAGGAGGAGGATGGAGGACACCTGGAGGAGGATGCGACCCAGGGCAGAGCTCACAGCAAACCCTTCAACGCTGATGGATAATTTTCACATAGGAAAATTAAACAAGCTTGCTGATCCTATTTACGTTTTCACTTGTGCTTGTTTTCCAGCACTGAGGCCCTTTTGGTGCTGATCCACCTCAGCACAGCAATCCCTGGTGAGCCAGTGCCAGCCCCAGGGCAAGGCAATAGGTGTTCTCCCACTTCTGGCACCTCTGATTTAAGGAAAACTGCTTACTGTGGAGCAAGGATACAAGCTGGTTAAATACTGTAAAGCCTACAGCTTTCTCCAACACTCCTTATTTTTATGTGTCACATTAAATTCCCTCAGTGCCAGTCTGTACTCTCAGAGTACTTAACAAGGATAGACAAAGCATATCAGACCTGAATAAATCGTTACAGTCTATTGTGCACGAGCCTCCGCTTAGAGAAAAGTCCTCTAAACCCATCCAGATTTCATCTCCTACGAAAAAATATAATCTGCCACTAAAACAGATAATTAAATGCAAACACGCCGGAGATCTTTTAACCTTTGCCAACCGAGCAGATGAGCCGTTCAGACCAGACGTTAAACCTGTTTGTGTTTCACACGCTGTTCAGACGGAAGCCAAGGGGCAGAGAGATGCTCTGCCTGGGCCACCAATGCCACCTGCCTCCGAGCCACGCTCCTCCGGGGCAACCGCCGGGGGTTTGGTCCGTGCCCTGCTCTGTTGGGGCTCCAGAAAACCCACCTCTGCTCAACCAGGCACGACTTTGCACAAAAAGCCCCCCGCCCAGCACGGGGGGTTCCCAGCCACGGAGCCCCAGCTGGGATCCTGCCATGGCTTTGGCCCTTCCCTGCCTCCCCCCGTGTCCCACTCGCTGCCGGCCCCATCCTTCCCGACCCCCCGTGCCACCGGCTCGCACCGGGCACCTGGAGGGTCTCGGGTCTGTCCCTGAGCCATTTCTTGGCTGTCCCGAGGAGGGGGTGACACCAGACACATCCAGTCCCAGCTCATAGTGCAGAAGAGAACAAGGCACTCACCGCCCAGATGAAACAAAGCCTCTTCGTTCCAACAGGAGACTGCCTTGGTGCGGGGCTGCAGAACTCCAGAAAAACTGCTCTGAAGGGTTTTTGGGGAGGTTTTTATGACTTTTAAATAATATCACTATTTAGGTTTTTGTTTGCTTGTTTTTAGGTTGTTTTTTTTCCTTTGGGGTTTTTTGTGCGGGGAGTGGGTGGGTTGATGGGTTTTTTTAATTGTTTATTACACAAAGGTCCCCTTTGGTGCTGATGCAGGGTCCCAGGCCGGGGGCTGCCGGGCAGCGCTGGCAGCGGGAGCCAGGCTCGGGAGCAGCCCCTCTGTGGGTGCTTCCAGGGGGGGCTCAGCAAACACCCACGGGGCAGAGGATGCTCCCAGGGACTCACTCTGCTCTTACCCTCTGTGATCCTCCAGCAGCAGCCTCGGAAATGCCAATTAGAATCAAAAAGACTTTCCAAAGACCTATTTCAGACTTTATCTGTTGTGACAAGTGCTTTTTACCTTGACTGTGTCTCAGCTGCGGGGCCAAGTGGAGCTCAGGGCTCTTGCACTGTAATTAAACAGCCTGCAAGGCTCCAGGTTTCTCATCAAAGGGCAAAACCCAAAAGCACAGTCAGAGGGTACACCGTAGGAAGGTAACGTTCCCTCCTGTGTGTGAGGTGACCCCAAAGGCCAGCGTGCCAGAATTCGAG